CTTCATTTTTTCATCAGTTGATTCCTGTCTTGCGATGACCACATTTCATGCTCTTTGGGGTGAGGTTGACTTCCTACCCCTCTGTTTGTGATTCTGAGTTGCTCTGGATCAGCTAGTTTGTTTCAAGTGCTTCCCTCCGAATATATCGGAGGCCTTTTTTTTTTTCTTCTACTTCTCTCAATTCGATCCCACCCTTTTTCCATCTTTCAGGAATATTGTACTATTTCTGGCATGCTGATCACTCCCTTTCTTGATCCCTAATGCCAGCAGGGAATTACTTTATATGAAAAAAAAATCTATGCCATTTACAGAGATTTTGGGAACAATGAAAGAAGTTAGATGTACTCAGGTTTTTTTTTTTCAGATTTTTTAAAATTTATTTTACAGGTAGAGTTATAGACAATGAGAAAGAAACAGACAGAGAGAAAGGTCTTCCTTCTGTTGGTTCACTCCCCAAATGGCCGCCACAGCTGGCGCTGCACCGATCCGAAGCCAGGAGCCAGGTGCTTCTTCCTGGTCTCCCATGTGGGCGCAGGGCCCAAGCACTTGGGCCATCCTCCACTGCCCTCCAGGGCCACCTCAGAGAGCTGGACTGAAAGAAGAGCAACCGGGACTAGAACCCGGCGCCCATATGGGATGCCGGTGCCACAGGCAGAGGATTAACCAAGTGAGCCACGGCGCCGGCCCCAATGTACTCAGTTTTCTACCTTGATAAAATCTACTGCAGATTATGCTTAAATTTCGACTCTGTTTGAATATTCAGTAGGGTTTCTAGATGGTCAAGCATACCTTTAGAAGGCAATTTTTTTTTTCTGTTTCCAACATTTACAGCTCTTACCCAAGTTTCCTTGCTGATTACATGGGCTGGAACTGCCATATAATAGTTTAGGATTAGGGTGATGGGGGTCTTTACATCTTCAGCTTATTTTTAATGTTTATTAACATTGTCCCTCGTGTTTTACCGTAGGCATAATTGTGGGTTGCTTTGAGATGGGTATTTTAATTATTTTGGTATCACTATGGATTTTTTAAAATTGTAAATGAATACCCAGTTTTGCTAGAGGCCTTTCAACATGTATCAGAATGATGGGGTGGCCCAGCATGCCGGATGTCTGAGTATTGCGTCATTGTTTCTGACACCCAGGAAGCCTTCCTGGGGGAGGTGGGCTCAGGAAGGACCTGTCTCTGGCCAGCTCACTGTGGCCTTTCTTCTCCGCTTCCCTGTTGATGTGCCTTTGTCTACCCTCGCTGTGCTGTGGGTGGAGCCTGGCTGAGAGGAAATTAACTTCACGCCCTTGATTCTACCGACGCTAAGTGTTAGGCACTCAGCAAGCAGTGGTTGGGCTGAATGGGACTATTTAGGCTTCTAGGGCTGTAAAAATCCACATGTCCCAGGAGAGAGACGAAGCTCGTGGCCACTGCGTGAGGTAACGACTTTATTCGTTCACTTTGATCACATGTTGGAGACATCAGCATGGACACTTGGCGCTGGCCCCAGGGACTTGCTGAGATGGGACAGTGCTGGCTGCTGGGGAGGTGGGGACATCGCCTAGGCTTGGAAAGACTCCGTGATGGCAGAGCAACTCAGAGACAACTGTCTGCAGCCTGCAGCCCTCCCTAAGCACTGCCTGTGGGAACCGCATTCAGAAACACGTGTGTAGTTCCAACACTTTCATCACCACGTGGCTATTACGGCCGCTGCTATCTAAAGTCTGATTTGATCCTAGTCCAAGGCAGATACGTGGCCAGGTACCCAAACATTTTAAAATAAGAAGGAATAAAAGTGTTACAGGTTGGGCTCTGTGGAATGAGGGTACATTTTCTTCATTTAAATTTTCTCTCTAAAAATAACTGTGCTTTTCTGCTTAGAAAAATGACACATGCCCGGGAAGTAATTTGGAAAATTCCGTAATAGCATTCAGAAGAAATTTAGTGCCCCCTCCAAAACAATATTTTGGTATGTTTCCTTGCATTGTTTTCTATACATTTGTGCTTCCCTTTTCAGAATTGGAAGCTAACGGTAATCAGAGCTTGATGTCTCGCTGAGAGTCCTATCACAAGCATCTTCCCATGCTCTGAGGTGGTTTTGGGAAGCCAGATCCTTAATGCATTATACTACCCAGCAAATTAGTGTAACTGCTCCCCGGCTCTTGGACATTTGGGGCATCTGTGACTTTTTGTTACTATAAATGGCACGCCAGTACAATTCTGTCTGATAGCATTCTAGTTCTGGGAGTGGAACACTGAGTCATCGTGTTATAAATATTTTGAGACTATATCATCCCAAACTGCTTCCTGAAAAAGTGTACCAATTTCCATTCTTCCTGATGCCACCTAAGACCAACCCTTATCTGTGATTGGCAGCAGCCATTGTCACACACACACACACACACACACACACGCACACATGCATAGAAGTGCCTGTGTGTGTCTGGCCAATTTTACAGTAGATGATGAAGGTTGTTTCTGTTGTTTTACAACAGTTTCTACCCAGGACAGATTACATAAAGGAAATCCGGACAAGAAGGAACCTGGAGGAGTCTTGGCCTGGGTCCGAGTACAGGCAAGGAGTTCAGTTCCCCAAATGTGCTCACATCTGGGGAGGCTCCTCTCACTGCAGCTCGCCCCACCCAGGCAGGACTCCTAACGGGTCCCCTGCTCCATGGTGTCCTTGCCAGACACGGAGAAGCCATCAGCAGCCCGGGGAGCTTAGTGAAGGGGAAAGAGAACAGAGAAGCCGGAGGACAGAGTCCTCACCGGGGCTCCTCCTGGGGGCTGGAGGAGGGACCGGCCTGTGACAGGCGGCCTGGAGATGAGTCATGGCCCGGCGCTCGCAGGGGTTGAGGGCAGGCCGGGGAGCTGGGCACCGAGGGTGCCGGGCGTGTGTGGGGCCAGCCTGCGTGCCACACTCCCAGCGATGTCCCAGGCAACTGCTGTGCGTGGCTGCGAACAGAGTGTGGCTTAATGCATTTAACAAGCTAATGTTTGTGCTCTTGGGCCCTGTGCACATTTAAGAATTAATTAAATCCTTTAAGGAAGTCATTTATGTTTGAGACCAAAGAAGATACTCAGGGGCCAAAACAACCCCGAAGAAGAAGGTCCAATCACAGCTCTTACGCCTGGCAGGTCCCGCCAGGCGACTTCCTAACCCGCTGATTGCCAGAGCCCAGTGCACAGATCCTGTTAACCCATTCTCTCCAGAAAGCTCCTGGGGAGGCATATTAAACGCGAGTTATTTTCAATTTCATCTAAGGTGTCTCTATCCAATGCAGTTACTTCAAAGTCTGCAGTGTGGGATTCGAAAAATCTCTTAGCATCATCAATGTCTTAGAAAAATATATTACCAGGAAGTGGAGCTGCTACTTGTGTGTTAATTACAACAAGGCGGCCGCCGCACACAAAATCTCCAGCGTCGCAAGCACCCGCCCAGGCAATATCAGGAGAAGCAAAGTCTTCTTAAACAGCATCCTAAATTCTCTTCTCTCACCCTTTGAGAAAAAGTGTGGCTCGTTGCGAAGCTAAAAGCCCATCTATTTAGTTATTCTTATAAAGATGTCGTGGCTACGTGAATGCTTTCTCTCCTGGAAGGGAATATCTGGTAGGGTTTCAGGAGCCGGCGTCTGAACAGCTTGGCCGTCTTCAGTCTTTGTCTCATGGGGGGCAGGCACGATGACCCACGCAGGCCAGGCCCTGAGTGCCAGGACCTGGGCCATGCCGAAGACAAAGGCGTGGCTTGCGTGTCTTGTTTTTGCCGTCCCTGCTCGTCTTCCCAGGCAGGCTGAGAGTTGTTCCGGTCTGGAGATGCTACTCTTCTTTCTCCTGGATGTGAGGGGAGCACGGGTTCCAGGAGACGAAGCAGACCCCTGACCATGGCAGTCCTGTGAAGGGAATCAAGTCGGGGACGGGGGGAGGGAGGAGAGCCCAGGAAGCACAGAGCAGGAGAAATCTGTGTATTTTCAAATGATTTGTTTCCTTAATGGGAAGGAAAGATCGATCAATTCCCATCTACTCAGAACTTCTTAAGAAGACCTTCATCTCCTAGGGCCCAAGGTCCTTCCTGGGTAAAGGGGAAGCTGGGGAGAGTCTGTGTGGACCAGGGAGAAACTGGGCGACAGGATGTCCAAGGAGGCTTCGGGGCAAGAGATACGGGGACCCCCACCGGAAATAACTCGAGTGTCGGCGTTAGAGGCCCAGCCCCGCTCAGTCGCCCCCAGATCTCCAGGAGAAAGCCCTTTGGGGTTCCCGGGGTGTCCTTTCGTACCCCTCTACTGTTGCCAAACTCCTCTGCAGGAGCAGAAGCAGGCTCCAGGCCAGCGCCTGCTGCAGGCAGCAGTGTTCAGCCAGAATTTAATAACATTGTTCTCATTTTATTTATTTTTATAATTACCTTTAATTTAGAGCAAGTGATACAAATTTCCATTTAGGGTAATGATATAGTTTCCCTTTAAATGCATTAAAGTAAAAAATAGTGAATTAATTAAAAAAATATTAGCAGGGGTACAAAAACATGGCAAAAACCTGAAGGCGGTTTATTGCGGTGCGGCTCCAGACGGGGCAAGGCCCAGGAAGGTGCTGTGTGATCGGGCACACGAGCTGCAAGGCCCTTTTAGACTATTGCTGTGTTGTTTATTTTTCTGAAACAGGTGAGGGGTCTTTGAGCTGCGGAAGAGTTTAGAATTTGGGAGAGCAGAGCCAGATACATGGACCCCAGAGGTTTTGCCTTGGATTCCAGCCTGAGGAACATCAACCAGAAAGATCCCCAGAGACAGTAGCCCCCTGCCTCTTAGAGCACCCATTTTCCCAGAAAAACTTATAGATGCCCGGAGGGCCTAAGGACTGTGCTGCCCAAGGATCATCTCCCTGGATGTCAGGCCATGTGGTGATGGGTTCCCTGTGTCCCCGCCCTTCCTCTGCATCCCCCCCCCCCTTCCCTGCAGCAGCGTATTTTGGAGCTCTTACTGTATTCTCCCAGCTCTCAGGGTTGGTATCAGATCCAACCCTGTTCCTTTTTAGAGGAGACTTGGTCCGTTTTCATAGCACCCAGCACTTAGAAGAAGCTCAGTTACTCATTGCATCCACCCACACATCCATGCATCCATCCATTGATCCATGCATGCATGCATGCATCCGCCATCCATCCATCATCCATCCATCCACCATCCATCCATCATCCATCCATCCACCATCCATCCATCATCCATCCATCCACACATCCATCCATCATCCATCCATCCACACATCCATCCATCATCCATCCATCCTTCTACACATCCATCTGTCCATACATCCATCTGTCCATCCACAATCTATGCATCCGTGCACCCACCCACCCATGCATGCATGCACCCATCTGTCCATGCATCCATCTGTCATCCACCCCTGCACCCATCCATCATCCATCCACCCATGCATGCAGGCATGCCTCATCTGCCTGTCCGCACATCTACCCCTTGATCCCTCCTCCTCTCCCTACTCTACATACCCACACATTCCCCCACCCACGCATCCCCTCCCTTCATCCACCCAGCCATGCATCTGCCTCTCCATCCACTCCACAACATTTACCAAGAGTATTCTGTATCTTCTACAATAAGGAAGCTAAACAAGCAGAAATCTGCTGGGTGCCCAGCACTCAGGTGGGCGTTAGTGACACAACAGTAACAGATGGAGATGCTGGCAGTGCCATCCAGAGTGTCTGACCGGTTGGAGACGCAGACATGAGACAAGTAGCAGTTCCGTGCCAGGTTCGGTGAATGAACGCGGGAATGAGCAGATCAGTGAATCCCTTTTCTCTGTCACTGCTGAGAGTTGAGACCCGTGGCATCCGAGGACGCTGGGGGTGAGCACAGTTTTGTAGGTCAGGGGTTGCACATGCAGGCCCTGGCCAGCTGAATTTCTCGAGTAAGATGACAGGCTTTGCACAGCTCGTTCAATCTGTCCCCAGCTGCCAGGGCCTGCCCAGCCTGTGCAAAGGGCACTCAAGGGCAGGGCTCCCTGCTGGGGTCTCCAGCAGGAGCCAAGCTGGAAGCAAGGGCAGCTGTGATGGGGCATGGAGCAGGGGCGTGGTCACTGCGAAGGGAGGCAGGGAGGTGGGGCAAGTGCGAGCAGTGACTTGACTGGGATTCCAGGGGAAGCCAGGCAGCGGTGGGCCGCAGGCTCTCTGCCAGGGCTGAGTGTGGCTTCGGGCGAGTCTCCCAGGGTCTGGTCTGGGCACTGCCCTGTCCACACATAGGCCCTTGTGCTTTGCTGGGGAGGGCCTGTGCTGACCCCTTGCTTGCTAGCAGTACATGCAGGGGCTCCTGGCAGCTAACCCTGTGGCTCAGCTGGTGCCTGTCTGCGGACGCTTTGTGTCTGGGCCACAGGGCCTTGCTCCAGCTCATTCTCCCTTCAATTGTCCACCTGTTCCTGGGTGCCCTGTTCCCAGCCCCTTGCACTCCTGCATGCTCACACGGGTCTGCAGGGGGCCTGAACTTGGAGCCAGAGAATCAGTGAGAGCCTGGTCCCTCTGAGCCTTTCAGGCTTTGGTTACCTTCACTGTCAAATAAAGAAGAGGCCAGGAATCCCCAGCTCTGGTGCAGGAGTAATAGACGAAGCACTGGTGTGCACCAGGCAGCCCTCTGGGCTTCAGCTTTGACATCCCTGTGGAAGTGACACTCAGCTGTAGTTCAGGGTGTGCAAGGGAGGGGAGGATGGGCGTGGAAGAGGACAGTGCGGGCAAATGATCTCTGCAGGGAGGGAGCCTGTGAGATGCACGTATACTACGTCACTTCCTCAAAGCAAGCAAGCAGAACCCGAGGAGAAAGACCCAATGGTGGAATTTCAAATCCCTGGGCACATGTCAGGATGGCAGTGGAGCAGAGGGAGGGATGCCTTTTCCCCCCACTGGGGAGGGCTCATTCCGTGTCCAGGAAGCAGAGCGGTAGGCCCAGCCTCCTATCCCCCACGGCACGTGGGACACTTCTGAAGGAGCCCGTGCCAGTGCATGGCTCAGGGCCCTTGTGCTGTGCCTGGAGCCTCCTGGGCTCAGGCTGGCCTCCTTGGAATGAGCTCAGCCAGAGAAAGCACAGATGAGAGGGAGCTGGCACGATCCCGGAGCCAGGAGAGCACCAGACAGGCAGAGCGGAAGCTGCAAGAGCTGCAGGCGTTCCCGGAGGAAAGGGTGGTTTTGTTTTTGTTTTTATCAACCAAGATGCCTTTGTTTTCAAGGGACAGAAAATTCAGCCAACACTGAATGAAGCTACCAGGTGACTGCGCTGGCTCTTGTGAGTGCCAAGTATGTACACAGCTCAGCTTAAGTTGCCGTTTGACCCAGCATCCCTGAGCAGCCACCTGCTCGGCTCCTCCGTCTCCTCAGCCTTGGCCTTGTCCCCGAGTGCTGCACAGCCCCATGTGCAGCCATGTCACACTGTTCTTGGTCACAAAACAGCTGCCACAGCTCCGGACCTCACTTCAGCACCTGAAGCATCCTTCAGTTCCCCAACAAGCCTTAGATCTCACTCATTGTCTTGAGTGAGGTCACAATGTGCTGAGCCTGAGCCAATCGCCAGGGCCAGGGCTTGAGATATTGTGATTGGCTCATGTGGACCCCCCAGTCAGGGCCTGGATGCTGGCCACATCTCACCCAAGCTACTGAGGAGCCTGAGGGGACCTCCCTTGTGTGAGTGGGGGGCAGGGTGCCTGTCCGGGCCTCTGTGGGTGGCCCAGGAGTCTGGACCTGATTAACCGGGCTCCCCTTGGTATGGCCGTGAGTATGCAGGAGGCGCCAGGCCCTGCTAAGAGCACTGAGCGAGAGCCGAGAGTCCTTCGCAGAGCTGGGCTTAACTTCAGCACCAGGCTCCCTGCCCGGCAGGGCTGCGATGGGTCAGTGCCGCTCACACGCCCCGGGCAGGCAGGGCTGCAGGAGCCTCCCCGAGATGTTCTCCCTGGGCGAGATCTTTGCTACCCCTGAGGGAGCTACAAACAGGTAATGCTTGGCTTCCTCGGGCCCGTGGTATGAGAAGCTTGAGTTACAAAATGCTCTGGCTATTAAAAAGCTGCTACTGACTTTAACGGCAATAAAATATCTGCTGTTTATGAGTAATTAGCCACTTCTGGAAAAGAGCTCTGTTCCTTTAAATTTATGGGGTGCCTTGATTTATGCATTTCATGGGGGGATGTCATGTGACATCACATCAACCTGATGTAATTTGATGCAAATCAAACGCAGGAGGCAGCGAAGGGGCCCCCTTGTCTCCAGCCTCCCGGCGTGCGCGTCTGTTTCACTCACTCAGAAAAGACTTGGGGGACTCTTTATCTTGTCACCCTCGGGCTGACCACCCTTCAGGTGCTTCCGGGGAGAATTTGCCATCCCTTGCGTGGCAGAGGCGCCAATTCTGCAGGTCTTTCGTGAGCACCTGTGTCAGGTCCTGGGCTCTGCAGAGACCTGGCGAGGCTCACCGGGAGAGACACTCCCTGATTTTGAGGGCGCCGGGGGCTGGCCCATGCAACCAGGACATGGTATAACCAGGAGTCTCATTTTATATTCTCTGATTGGAGAAGGAACTGTGAAAAATGCAGGGCTGGAGAGCTCAGGTGCGGCAGAGGGAAGATGTCTTAGGGACGGGTTTGAGAGCGGCGGGATCCTCATTCGGTAGCACAGTGGGCAGAGGCAAGGGTGCTGAAGAGTTTGTGGTTGACCGTGCGTCTATTTGTGTGTTATTTCTTCTTCTTCTTCTTCTTTGAAAGAAAGATTCATTTATTTATTTGAAAGTCAAAGTTATACAGAGAGAGAAGGAGAGGCAGAGAGAGAGAGAGGGGTCTTCTATCCGATGGTTCACTCCTTAATTGGCTGCAACAGCCGGAGCTGCACCAATCCGAAGCCAGGAGCCAGGAGCTTCTTCCGGGTCTCCCATGCGGGTGCAGGGGCCCAAGGGCTTGGGTCATCCTCTGCAGCTTTGCCAGGCCACAGCAGAGAGCTGGATCAGAAGTGGAGCAGCTGGGCTCGAACTGGCACCCATATGGGATGCCGGCGCTTCAGGCCAGGGCATTAACCTGCTGTGCCACAGCACCGGCTCCGCATTATTTCTTCTTGCATCCGTCTGCCCCTCCACTCATCACTCCATCTCTCCATCTCTCCATCTATCCTTCCATCCTTCCATCCCTCCATCATCTACTTAGCATCCACTGTCTTGAGTGCTTTGGAGCAGTCAAGGAGAACAAGACAGACATGCATCCTCTCTGTGCTGTGTCACCTCAGATGGCTCATTCCCTATCTCCAGTTAATCTGTGTCGAAGTGGGCACATCAGACGAGGTGAGGGGGAATGAGATGCTTGCTGAGACACCCTCAGCTCTGCCACCCTCATCTTCACTGTGTGTGTGTGTGCACCCCTTCCCTCAAGCAGCATCTCGGTGCAAGGCGAGAAGGCGGGCACATCTCGCGAGAGCGTAGTCCAGGCGAGTGATGGGGAGTGAGACTGGCTACGGGGCAGGCGTGACTGTTTGGTAGACATCTTTGGCATGAACGTGGACAATGTGGGCTTTTGAGCTTTGACCTTGGTGCTTGAATGGAGACAGTCCAGGGCTGCAGAGAGAGTGAGCAGAAAGAGGCAGCATCCGGGGCCATCACCCTCAGTGAGGTGAGCGAGTCGGTTGGGTGTGGCTGTGGCCCTGCAGGGCAGCTTGCTTGTCGGGATGGTTGGAGGCACTCTCGTTGGTTTCTTGGGGTAAAGTTGAAAGCCCAAACTTCGTCTTTGCACACCAGAGCCTTTCCGGTTCCCGTCTGTGTCAAGCCTGTGTCTGCAGACATCTTCCAGAGTGCTCAGCCTCCTACCCTGACTCCCTGGAGGCAGCACCGTGAACCCTGGGTAACAGCGCTGGGCTCCTGGCGTGACACGAGGGAGGCCACTTTACCTCCTCCCTGGCTCCCGTAGAGCAAACGTGGGGTTGCGCCAGGCTGGCACAGAGGAGATGTGGGGTCCTCACGTAGTCTCCGTGCAAACATAAATGTAATTGTTTTAGGCTGGAACCTTGCAACGTCTCGCTTCCTAGTAGAGAGTGGCGTTTTTATGGTCATTAGCCAAATTCCTTTTCTTCTGTGAACTGCCTGTTCTCAGGCCTTTTGTGCTAAACGCAGATGTTCAACGTGTTCCGCCATGCTGCGAGTGCCTTTAAAAACAGACACGGTAAAGGTTCTCACCTGCTCAACAACCACACAAGCCTGGGGCTGTTGGATTCCCCTGAGGTTTTCAAATGGGTGGTGGGAGCAGGACCCAGTGTGACCACAGACCTGACACGGATCCAATGTGTTGGTGTGTCACTGCTAATAGTAGTGACTGTAGAAAGAGGAGGAGGAGGCGGCAATAAACTTCCCATGGCACCTGCTCTGTGCCGGGCGCTGCTTCGAGCACTCTCTGTCATGACCTCACTCCATCTCCCAATGACCTTATTGCCACCACCGCATCACAGGTGCCTGACTGCTGAGCCGCACCTCGGAGCTCTTGCAGAATCAGACACAGTTTGCTTTCTGCCAGCAGCCACTTCCAGTTTCCCTTTGTCACACAGAGTCCCAGAAAAGGGACTCCAGTGGGAGCCCAAAAAGGCTCAGCGGCTGCTCTGGGTTGGCCACGGTCAATTCTGAAAACTGCCTGCAGCTAGTGCGGCCCTTGCCTCCACACTGAGCTACTGAAGTTTAATGATGCCCCGGGGTGGCCTGAAGGCTTAGCCTGGGGAAATGCCACTTGGCCACCTGAAGCCGGGGAAGGGGATGACCGTGTCTCGATGGTGACAGTGAGGTACAGCCGGTCCAGGACAGGTGGACCTTGTGCTGTGGGCTCTGTATAGTCCAGGGATGGGGTTTCCTGTCTGGAGGCAGGGAAGCACTCACTGCTGTTTCATGCTTCCCCCAGCGTCCAGCTCCAGAATCAGGGCTGGGCTGGAGGCAGTGGTCGGCCTGCTTGGTTCACAGAAGGGCAGCTGTGATGCACAGCGTCATCCAGGCTGGGCTGCAGGTGGGGTGGGGGGCATGGGGGCATGCCTGGTGTTGGGGGTCAGCCACTTTCTGTCTTACCACCAAGCAGGTGCACCCCGGCACAGGAGGCCAGTGTCTGTGTATGGAGGAGGGCGGCATTCGTCACTCAGTGCTTCCTGGTGCCTGATGGGTGTGAGGCACTGTCGCAGGCACCTAGGAGCATTGTCACCATGGAGACAGGGACTTGTCAGCCACCCCTGGCATTCTGTCCTACTCTAGTTGGCTTCCTATTCCTGACTGTGTGCAAGGATCTGGGACTGGGGACAAGGTGTTGGGGGGGTTCCAAGTAGAGAGTGTTGTCCTGCAGGGCCAGCTGGCCCCCAGTGCCTGCTCTGAGCTGGACATGGAGAAGACAGAATGAACAAGATGTGGTCACTGCTCCCAAGAAGCTCCTGGTCCTCTGACCTTTGGCAAGGACACACAGCACTCAGATGCACCTGTGGTCCCTGTGGCAGGTGTTCTGGGTCCACTGGTCCTCTTGCTGGTGAACTCCTGGTGCTTCCGATCTGCAGAGCCCAGCACAGGGCCCCGTGTACAGTAGACAGTTGGAGATAATAGATGAGACTTTGCACAAACAAGCAAGTGGAGGCAGGGAGGGCAAAGGAGAGGAAGTTTTCTGGCGGGCAGGTAGAGGGGCCTGGCATTCAGATCAGCTCACCAGCAATTGCATGCTCTCATCACCTGCAAAGCACCATGCCCAGGAAGCCCAGAGAGGGGCTGAGCGTGGTGAGACAGGGTCCCTGGTGCCTCGTTCTAAGACCCAGTAGCATTAGCTCTTTACAGGGGGCTGGGAAGGGTGGGGAAAAGGAGTGGCTTCGTGGATGAAGTGACAGCCACAGAAGGCCCTGTGGTCCACACTTCTCCCCCAAGCTGCCGCCTCCAGGAGCAGAGGACAAGGTTGCCCTGGTAGTCCAGGACTGGCCTTGGGGTCCAAGTCTTCCTCTCTGGATCTCCTGCCTGCACCCCAAGGACAGATGCTTTGCTGGGGGCCTGCAGCCTTTGCTGCCTGTTCCATTCATTCATTCATGTCCACATGCAATCCTTCATTTGTTGGTTGATCCATTCAGCAAGTATTCATTGGGTGCTTCCCCTGTGCCTGGCACTGGGGACGCCCTGCATAGGTGATGGTCATGGTCTGGCCCTTTGGGAGGGCTGGGCAAGTGGACAAACACACCCAACCCAGTGGGAAGCTGCCAGGAGGGGTGAGGCCAGGACACGGCGCAGACACACGAGAAGGCTGTGCTCTGGACCCGGGGCATGAAGGAGGGCCTCCTGGGTGAGTGGCATTTAACCTGTGAGCAGGTGCCAGGGCACAGTGGTAGGTGGTGCGGATTGCAGGGATGGTGTTTCGGGCCAGGCCCTGAAGTCACCCCCAAGCTGAGGCTTGACAGGGGCTGTGTGTTATGTGCAGATGAGCCAGAGGATTCTCTGTCCTCAAGTCAGCCCCCCCTCCATCTTTCCTGGCAGTGGTTAGAAGTTTGTCTCCGTCCCTAGGGTCCATCTTCCTGGGGGTGGTGACACCCAGAACTGGACCAGAAGCTCCTACATGCCCACAGGCCCACATGCGCCCCAGCTCCCAGCACAAGCCACTACTACCCAGCACAGGGGCTCATGGGCTGGTTTTCTCTCCCCTGCCAGGAGGCTGGCCCAGAGAAGGACAGGAAGGGCCAGCCTGGTGACCAGTGCAGGCACCAGGGCTGCCGTCCTGGACACTGCGAAGTCCAGAAGGGGCTGAGGCCCTGGCCTGGCTCTGCCAGGCTCTGTGTGTTGGCCTCAGCCCAGTGGTTGCAGGCAGTGGAGGACGGGCTGGTGCACGTGCCTGTCTTACGCAGCACCGATCGTGGGGACTTACGGGGTGGTGTGTCTCTAAGCCATGTCTTCGACAGGTGCCCCATGAACGAATCTCCCAGGGCTGACTTCTATGAATATTTAAAAATGAAGCTCCCTTTGATCACTC